GGCTAGTGCTGTACCAGCTGTGGTTTGAGGCTTCTGTTGCAGTAGTAGCTACTACTTCGTACTGGGTCAGTGGAATTAAATGGTTCAGGCTATGCCGAAAGAAGCCATAAATTATTATCTATCTTTATTGGACTCCTATGCTCACCCCCAACAGGCTTTTCCAGGCGCCACCCGATATACATATATTTAACCCTCCAGTCTCTACTCTATATAGGTATGCCCGTTTATTTCTGAGTACATAGTTCCCAAGGAGATATCAGATACTAAAAACAAAGATAAACTACACCGGACATTGATGAACTTTTAGGTGTTTTATTGTTTATATCATTGAAATTTCAATTTCTTCTGTTACAATATTGAAATTTAATTTTCGTTTTAGTTATATCACTGAACAATTAAATCATTAACGGTATAGTAATGTGGCTGGTGGTTGTCGATGTAACTGTTGAAATGGCTAAAGAGTCGAAACAACACTGTTTTAGGGAAGGAAAATTGTTAAAATGTGAAGTCTGGAATGATTCGGATTCTAGTCTTTTGGGGTCGAAGGTAGAGGCTTAACTACCGGACTAATTCGAAGTTTTGTTACATCGTGAGTAGATTGAAAATCACATCACACCGTTTAAGATGGAAAATCAAAGATGAAAAAGCTGATTAGTTGGTAACAGAAAGGCCATCGAATAGCCTTAAGCTTACTAAAGACAGACGTTCAAAGCTGCCCGTGGCATATCTATAAAGAACCCACTGTCATTTGGGCGATTTTCCCGATATATCACCGTTGAATAATATATTTTTCGATCAGGCATCGTTCAGATTATATTTCCCGATAAAACACCATTTGCAGAAAGACACGATCCCTTCAACGCGTTTTACTTTGATTTGGCGTCACGTGTGGTAAGGCGCGCCCCTGCAGCGCGCCTTATGCTGACATGGTATACACGTGTGTATAGGGGTATAGCGCGGTGCAGGGGCCGCGCCTTACTCTAAAATCTACCACGCGTCAGTAAGGCGCGCCCCATGCGGCGCGCCTTGGGTATAATTACCCACCTACCCCGACGTTTCACACCCCAACTCTCCCTATAAATACCTCATCCTCAATCATTTTCATCACACCAAATTCTCTAACTTCTCTCAACTTCTCTCAAATACTATTATAATCTCTGTCTAAGGTATATTTTTAATATTTTGTATTTAATTTATTTAAGTATTTAATTTATTTAATATTTTATTTAATTAATTTTTTTGCAGATATAAAATGGAAGACGGTCTACTTCGCTTTGATAAAAATCATATATCTCGACACTTTGTTGATACAGTAACATTTTAACGTTTTAATTTAATTTAAATTATTAGTAATTATTTGTTGATTTATTTAATGCATGATTATTAGATTAATAATTAATTTTTGTAATTATTTAATTTTAGAAGAAGGACCGTGTATTAGATCCATTTATTAGGAATCTTAAGTTAGTGATATCTAGATGTGTCTTGCCGTATTTAGTAGAGGCTGGATTCGGTTACATAGGTAGATATCAGGGTCACTGTAAGATAGAACCAGACCTTATTTCTGCCTTAGTAGAGCGGTGGAGGCCGGAGACCCACACATTCCATCTTCCGTGCAGAGAGTGCATGATTATACTTGAGGATGTTGCTATGCACCTGGGGCTTCCGGTGGATGGAGATGTGATATCGGGGATCGCATAGGGTTCCTGGACTACTTTGTGTCGGGATAATCTAGGACGTGTCCCGGAAAGTTTTAACGGTGGTCGGATACCGTTAAATTGGTTAGATGTCAATTTTCGGGAGTTGAGCGAGGACGCGTCAGATGATGAAGTTAAAATGTATGCACGGGCATGCATACTGCAGCTGATAGGATGGTTGTTGATGCCGGACAAATCGTGCAACCAAGTTCACTGTATGTGGTTGCGACATCTTGTCGACTTTCTGGCCGGATCACTCAGTTGGGGCTCGGCAGTTTTGACTTTATTGTACAGGGAAATGTGTCGAACCACTGACTACAGGAGAAATGCTAACGGCGGATGTCTCCTCCTCCTGCAGTCTTGGGCATGGTATCGATTTCCCTTTTTATGTTCCGTTGTGAAGAACTCATTCGTATTTCCGCTACTTTTGAGGTAATTATAAAACTGATTTCGTATATTAATCATTTTATATAGCGTATAATAAATTTTTTTCTTAAATAGATGGTCTTCTGATAGAAAAAATCATTAGGAGCTACCTGATGATTTAGAAAAAATTAGGGTGCTCATCGATCAGAAGGCTAACACACATGTATGAATTTAAATATTTAAAAATCGATTTTATATTATTATTTTGATAAAAATTATATATATTTGTTTTAGTTTGAATGGGTGTCATATTTTAATGATGATGTGAGGACGGTGATCCCACCTGAGTTGAGGGGCCCATCAGATGTTTGGATGGCGATGGTCCCTTTAATATGTTATGCGACCGTTGAGTGGTGCTCCACTGATCGTGTGTTCTGGCAATTTAGTTGTTTTCAACCAATTCCGAAAGCACATCACAATATGGACGACTTGCATGCCACAGATATAGCGGTAACTGCACCGCGCCTTACATAATTATATTAGATAAAGCTAAGACACGGCCCCTGTTCCGCGCTTAATAATTGTGTTAAAGGTAAGGCACGACCTATGTCCTGCGCTATACTCCTAGGTGGCCTAAGGTGCGCGCCCGGGGCCGCGCTTTACACACGTGTATACCATGTCAGCATAAGGCGCACTGTAGGGGTCGTGTCTTTCTACAAAAGGTGTTAAATCAAAAAATATAATCTAAACGATACCTGATCGAGAAAAATACTGTTCAACGATGATATAGTGAGAAAATCGCCTGTCATTTGTAACTAGTTGACTTTATATTCTTTACCATTTTAGAATAAAATGTGAGGGAGAATGGAAACCATTTTTGCACGGATGGGGGATTAGATGGAATGGTGATGGTTTTCAAATATGTTAAAAGAGAAATGACATTGACAGCCATCTTTTTCAGCAAAGTAAAATATGTAGAGGCGTAGTATAATATCCAACAATACACTAATACCATCTATGCCATGCAAAAGACAAAAATACGTAGTAGATTCGATTAAAAAGGCCTCTGTCTTTGTTGTCCCTGACAACTACGTATCTTTGTGAAATATTGCAGGTGAGAGAAAGATGCGTGTGGTCAAATCAATATTTCAAATGCTTTTCCTTTTCCTCTTTTTGTCTTTAGCGAACCAAAAGCTTTACTTGTAACCCATTACTTTTAGTTTGATTTGGCTCAATGGTTGATGATAAGTTGGCCTTTGATCTTCGCTTCATGATTATTTATGGTTTTAAAAATGATAAATTTTAACTTTGTCAAAAATTAAATAAAAATATTTCAATTTTTATAAAGAACATTATTATTCACATCCACCCAGAGAGATTAAAATATAGTGGTTGACCATATAATTTACTCTAAAAACAAATTTAAAAGGATATCCCGAAACGAGTCTCTCTAGCTATTAGCATTTACCAGCTCCCTTAGCTGGTTTACCCTATTCTAAAAGCTGTCACCGACTAGACTGGATGTGTTTGTACATGCAAGGGTTTATTTTTTTAAGTGTAAGGTCAGAAGACGAGTTAATCTCGAATTCCAAATCAAATCTAAACCAAAAGTTAAGAGAATGGACTCGAATAGCTGATCATATCATAATAAAAAGTTTCATAACTTTTTAAATAATAGGGTATCAAGTAAATTACCAATCTACTTCTCCCATGCAAAGAGGTTCTCTAAACCGCCAACTCTCTCTTGATTATATATATATGATCAAAGGAAGAAGAATGACCACATATATGATGTATATTGTGAAAATATTAAGTGAGAGGTTCAGCACCTTCCTTGGCTTTTCTCTGTCGATGAAATTCATGGCCGGCTAGATTAAGATAAAGCCAAATGACAATGCATATTACTTTTTTGGAGGACCGCACTAATGAAAAGACAAATGCATATTACTCGATATCTAGTGAGGAGGCTAGCTTTCGCTGGACGTTCAATGCCCAGATCAGGTTAAATATATAAAAGCTAAAGTTTAATCTACAAAACATAGGTTCCTGGCTAAGTATTATCTAAAGATATCGAGTTACAAAGACCTGATATTCCGGCGGTTCAACCCTTTTATTAGTCCCTGTACTATGTGAAATTTATGAATCTAGGTCTTATGCACTATTTTTGCCATTCTAGTCCCTATACTGTGTGAAAGTTAATCCATATACTCTAATTTGGTCATTTTTAGTACCTACACTTTTCAAAGTTTAAAATTTTGATCCTAACTCAAAAGGTAGCGTTTAAATGTATTGAATTAAGTTATGCTATTAGTTCTTGTAATATGCTTAAGTTGTAGATTTAATTATTTTCCTCCAATTTAATCATTTTAAATCCTTGTGATTTTATCATTTTCACCCTGGATTATTTGATACTGTAGACTAAAATTTCAAATTTGTAACAGTAGAGGGATTAAAATTGACCAAGTTAATTAGAGTATGGGTGCGTAAATCCGCAACATACGCATAGTATAGGGGCTAGTGGTAGTATTTCATCTATTAGGGCACGTTGGAATTTTAGACAACCAAGAAAACGCTTAAGCTTTATCACACACCTTAATTATGAAAACAGCAGGTGATAAATTAAGTCAACAACATCCCATGCAAACGTCCCTTTCTCACCTCTGCCCAGCCTCATTTCTTTCTCTTTCATTTAACATCGGAAAACCCAACCATAAATTCTGGTTTTTCGTTTTACAGGGTCCAGTTTATCATACATACAAGTTGTTCTGGGTTCCGTTTCGTAATATATAATCAGTAGTTTCTCTTTTCTGCGACTTCAGAACAACTTCCAGTCGTCAACCAAGAGGATCATATCAACAAGTTATACAACTTAGAAGCCCTATCAAATTCCACTGATCAGTCAAACCAAAAAAGCTCATAAAATATTTTCAACGGAAGATGTCGTCTTCATCAGTTGCAATTTCACCGGACCAGCTCTGTTACGTCCATTGCAACTTCTGCGACACCGTTCTCGCTGTAAACCCTTTTTCTTTTTTACCCTTTGGTGGGGCTTTTATTGTTTTAGTATTACAATCTGATTCTCTTCCTATTTGTATCAGGTGAGTGTTCCATGCAGTAGCTTGCTGAAGACTGTTACAGTTCGATGCGGCCATTGCACCAATCTTTTGTCTGTCAACATGCGTGGCTTGCTTCTTCCTGCCGCTAATCAGCTTCACCTTGCCCATTCTCAATTTACCCCACAGAATCTCCTTGTATGTGCATTAATATTTATATTCAATAGTTTTGTTTTCCGAAGAAATCAGGGTTTTTTTCCGTCTTTCACTACTTCAATTCATCGCAGGAGGAGATCCGAAGTAGTGCACCACCTAAGATGCTGATGATCAATCACCCTGACCCAAGGGGTTTAGCTATTCCTATACGAGCAGCAGTTGAAGAGATGACCAAACCTCCGGTGGTCAACAGACGTGAGATTCTTAACATTTTACCATGCTATCGTTCAACGCACTTGTATGAGAAATTTAGCCGGATCTTCGTTTGTTTGAGATAGATTTTGTCTGTGTTTTGCTCAGCTCCGGACAAGAGACAGAGAGTACCGTCTGCCTACAATCGCTTCATCAAGTAAGTAATTAGCTTCTTAAAATCCCTCGTGCAAGTTACTTTATTTTACAAATTAAGTAGAATGTTGGTGTGTTTTGAATTCAAAACTACAGGGACGAAATCCAACGTATCAAATCTGAGAATCCTGATATAAGTCACAGAGACGCCTTTAGTGCTGCTGCCAAGAATGTAAGATCAACGATTCCAGAATCATTATAAAACAATCTTAGCATAACAAAACAAAAACAAAAAATTAGGGTTTAGTCATGTTCGCCATTATGGCATTATGTGCTAATTTTCGATATAAAACACACTTGTCTCACGTCCATCTCTTTAGTTACGTTTAGTGATTATGTTTATTATCATCTACTAATTTTCGTTCTTATTTTTTATATTCTAGTGGGCCCACTTCCCACACATACATTTCGGTCTTATGCATGACCAATCCATGAGGAAATCTAACGCACGCCAACAGGTATTTCAAACCCTAAATACGCATATTTATATCTATCACTGTTGATCCTTATATTTTCCATCATTTTGGGTCTGCTGTACTGTGTAGGATGGAGAGGAGGCGCGGGTGAAAGATGGGTTCTTTATACCTACCAACGTGGGCGTCTCTCTCTACAAATAAAGTAAAAAACTTTTAGGGTTTCTTGTCTCCTCTAGTTTTGTTTTAGCTGCTATTAGGGTTCGTATCAAATATCTTAGAACATGTTCTGTTAGAAGACAGTAAGTAACGTTTTTGAAGGTTATTGGGACACAATATCGGCACAACGTGATAAGGTAACCGCATCACAATTGTTGTGGTAAAAAACCGTTACGTAACACCGCAACACGCTATAAATTGCGCCGTAACGCCGTAACAAATTTTAAATTATCTGAATTATAAAATTACATAGATGAATTGTTCTAATTTAATTCTTAAAATTGAATTATAAATATATATTATTAATAATATCGTAATAATTATGTTTAAAATTAGTTACATAAATTTGAATTAATTAAATTATTTATTAACGTTATTTTAAAATTAAATTAATTAAAATTAAAATTTTCTCACATCTAAAATTGGCGTGATTAATTTTTAATTAAATTTTTATATTAACATTAATTATCATAATTATATATTTAATTATTATTATATAAATTTTGTATAAGAGAGGAACTCACTTTATAACACTATAATAGTATATGTATTTTATTTATTTACTATGAAACTATAAAATTTTATCTAATCTATAATATAATAGTATATGCTACTCGTTAATATTATAATTGTTATTACCCATTATCCAGTATGATAACACTTCTATGGTTTATATTTGTTTTTAATAAATTTTTATTTTCAAAATAAAATATATATTAAAAGAGTATAGTAATATTAGTATATTAAAAGATAATTGTAAAATGTATAAATATAATATTTTAGACATATTGTGATTTTTAAGAAAGAGATCACTCTCGCAGTCACAAAACATTACGTAACATCCGTAGCATCCGCAATTACGACACCACAACGGCATCCGCAACAAAATCTGTAACCGCAAATTGATACTATGCTCATATTGTTCCGGAAACTATGGGAACTTGTTAGGGAAACCGGAACACAATTTTAACCTTTGTCCGTTCTTTGTACCCACACAGAACTCTCACGAAATTAAGGTGATGATCCTCAGGCTTTACCCACACAATTTTTAAAATATTATTATTTCACAACCATAAATTTATCAGGTCACTTTTAAATTTATATTCTTTTAACATAAATTTTCAAGTCTGTACCCAGTTAGGATGGCTCGATGCGAAAGGATGTTGAGAGTTAAGACCATGAGTCATTATGGGACGCCCTAAAAGGGTATGCTAAGTCCAGTTTCATTTTAAGTAGATATCGGAATGGGCACCTCCAACCAACTAGGACCTCACACCACTAATGTTTACTCTTTCATTGGGCTCCAGGCCCATCTATCTCCCATTGCTTGCCGATTGGCATTCTATATACAATAGAAATGGTCTTAAAGATGAGACCTTGGTAAGGAGTTTGAGATAAACATGTTTACACACGAACTATCATATATATTTTTTAAAATAGATCGATAAATGTTAATGACTTTAGGTTATAGTTTTCCAAGTCAAAGATTTTGTTGCACTCTTTAATCATTTCATAGATTTATGTTTCGTACAACTTTTGGGGTGTGATTAACGACATTTTGCGCTTTGCAATTGAAAAACTTGACCTATGCGTTATCATAATAAATGTATCAGTTAAACCATGGATGAAAATCCAGAAGCCCAGAAGCATTCACACGATCATAACCTGATGTGAGACTTCGCTATCACCTTTGCTTACAAGTTTTTGTCTTTCATAATCGTCGTTCAAAACATACGGCCTCCTGTGTTGTTTGAGAAATTTAATGCTATTTGGCATCTTGTTGTGTTTGGATTGCCCCTAAAAGTCTTCGCTTCACTGCTGTCCTTGGAGCCGCTGTTTGCTGCAGTTTTACTCTACGGCTCACGTGCATGAAAAAATAATAAATACTTTAAATTTAAATTAATGAAAAATTAAATATTTGAAAATCAATGAAAAGGGATATCTGGGATGAAAAATGAAAGCACCGTAGAAAGATTTTAAAATAGAAGTGAGTCAAATGTATGGCTTTAATTCCTTGGATTTTGCGGGTCCTTGTCGCCAATATACTACTATTTATTTGCATTAATTTGAGTATGAAAAACGGCGTAACCAGCCTTCACTTTCGGCATGTAACTTAGCTACCCAGCAGGCTCACGTCATACTTTTACCAACTTGTTTTCGTACTTCTTATTTGAAAATGGATTATTAAAAATAAAGTTGGTATCTGCTTACAAATGTCTCTCTTATCTTTTAATTAAATAATTAACGGAATAAATATTTTAAAATAAAATTTCATCTGATTCATAATTCAAAACTCGAAAATTTAATCTATTTTATTTTTTCCATTCTCCATTTCAGGCTCTCTCTCAATCGTACGATCAACAGCGTACCCCTACCCAAACACCTCACTTGTCAATCAGCCTTATCATCACATCCCCCTTCCATTCATATCTCGTCTATAATCTTAGCTGCCCAACAAACACCCCCATACTCCATTCAGTAACAGCGGCGAATCTATGGGTATTATACAGCGGATACATATCTATCATAAACATTAAACTTTTTTATGTTCGTATTTTATTTTATTAAAAATATTCGCCTCAAAATTTTATTTACATTTATCTTATACAAAATATTGTTACTATTAATACCTATGCACTCCTCCTAAAAATTATTTATGGATCCATTACTCTTTATAAAATCTACAAATAAATAAATAAAAGAAAGTATAGAAAAACATAGGTGTTACGTTTAGATATGGGTGATTCACGACAAATTAAATATTTTATAAAATACTATATGTTTTGAGCATGTGTTACTATCATATTAATTAAAATTAATTTAATAAAAACAATTGATTAATTAATTTAAATAAAATAAAATATTTTTGTATTGTAGTAATATATATTAATACTTTGAACACGTAATTATATATCACATAATCATTTTATACATGTGATATGCGGTAAATAATCACTTTTATATATATTTATCAAACCAATATATATACACATAATAACATAAATTAATCGCTAACCAATTAATAATATTCATTCAATCACAAGTCATTTTAATTTTAATGTAAATATAATACTAAAACTAAAATATCTATAAAAATAAATATCATAATAATTATTTAATAAAGAAATAAAAATAAATATTATGGCCATATTAAATAATAGTCCTAAATAACGTTTGAACATTAGCATCCGCTTCGGCCGTACGAATGGCAGGGAAAAATAGGGCATAGGTCAATAATTTCAGGCAACAGAAGAGGGTAGTCTAATTTAAGGTTAAAATATGATCAAATATAAAAATATTATAAAAATTATAATATTTTTTATTGGGCACGGCCTAAAATATTATATATAAGATAAATTTTACGATTTTCAATCGAAAAATATTAAAAAATTAATATTTTAGATTACATTCAATTATGACTAAGGGGAAACCTTTGGAATTATTTCACTTTGGATCGCTATGAGTGCGTTTTTCATGCCACGGTTTAATTCCAAACCCCAACTGAATTTCACTGACTTATTTGTTTTATTGTACTTTCGATTTTAAAATTTCACCTTGTTAAATCAGACTGATCCTTGTCACACATTTAGTTTTGGAGGTGAATTTTTTAATAAATATTTTTTGCATACACAAGAGTTAAAATTTAAGACTTTTTAAGTGATATCAAGTTATTTACTACTTGAAATAATCTCCTTGATACCAACTTATTTTTTATTTGAATATATTTAATAAAAATTTATCTTAAAACGCATATATATAACAATAATACTTTAATAAAACACTACCAATTTTAATAGTATAAAATTAAGAGAACATTTATAAATTTTCAAAATTTCACAAATTATATAATAATTAATACTAAATTTTGGCACATAAATATTGCGAGTGAAAGTGAAATAAAAAATTATATAAAATAACATACATATCAAAATTTATTGAAAAATAATCATAGGTAAGATGACAAAATATTATTTATAAAATATTGTGTAAAAAATAAGTTACCTATCAAAATAACTCCTGACATGACTTAAATACCCCATTTCACTAAAATAAATTATTGATTCACTCTAATAGATCTAATGCTACATATAACTCAAACAAGAAAAAGTATTTACAATAATTTTAAAAATAATAACTATTTGTCATATAACACGAATGAAGCGATATCTGTTTTTAAGATTTTACTTCACCACATTTTTTGTAATTACTTTCAATGTAAAATTGGTCAATTATCCTAATCTTCTGTCGTAGCACGAATTAAACGATCTTGATAGTAAAAAAATTATTGTTATTTATTAAGATTTCGTTTTGAGTACCATAAATATCATGGACGTAAACGTTAAATGTCAAATGATAAAAGTTATTGCCTTTTATTTATCCGATATTAATAAAAAAGTAAAAAAATCCATGTAACCGCGCTTATTAAATCAAATTAAAATTCATTAAATTTACAACATTTTTGTATCTTAAATACAAATGTCATTGCCATTACTAGCTAATCTCAATGATTATAGCCAATAATTAGATTTGGTAAACATTGAATTTTGCTCGCTATTATTTTGCTCTCGTGTTTTCTTTTGGAGGTGCATGAACATTCTTGGGTTCAGAGTTTCCAATTATTTTGTTGGTACATGGATTTTCAATTAATCGAACCTAAATATTATCTCCATATATTTTATATAATATCATATTTAAATTGTTTATAATCCTCGAACTTTTAAATATGAAGAAGGCAAACATGTTTGAATAGATTTAAATTAGTGAAATTAAAATAATATTTAATAAATTAAAACCCACTCAATATTAATATTATATATTTTTGGTACATCAACAACAATATATACTTTATACACCATCATTAAATTAAATACCTATACATAATTATAAACTTTTTCATTTTTATTTAGTAAAAAATAGTGAATGTATAGTCCTTGTAACGAATTGGCATGTTTATTTGACCACAAACTAGTTGGAATCAAACCCCCATTGTTATCTGTGAAGGTGTCCAATAATTGAGCAATCTAGTGATGTATAAAGAAGCCACGGATTTACCCGAAGACTCCTAGTTGTCTTCTTCCACGTGTATTAAATCTGAGCTTGGAAGCAGCAGAGTTTTTTTGGACAATAACCCGGAAAAGTTAGGGTTTAATGTATAAACCCCATTAAAAAAATGGGCCACTTTCTGAATCCCGGAGCCCACTTGGCCCTTTTCTTTTACCGTTTTCCACCGAGAACTGAGAAAAGTCGCTGTTCCTCGTCTTGTCATTTTGCAGTGAGAGGGAGCCAACCAAATGGTTAGGGTTTTTAAGGGTTCCTGGGGGACATGGCCACCCTTTCTCCTTTCAGTCAAGACCCTCATATTAAATATTTTTTTATATATAATCTTTGCTTTACACTAGACTAGACTACAATTACGTTCAAATGCAAAAGAAAAGATACAGCACCTCTTTAAACAAGCCCAATCCCCTCTCTCTTTCCCTCGTTAGTTCATTGGTAACTGTTAGACAGGCGGCTGCAGTTTGCCAGGCGACGTTTCTCTTTTCTTGAGCTCTCGCCTTCTATTTCTCTTTTGTGATAATGTTCATAAGCTTTTAAACAAAATTTTTCTTCTAAGTTCAATCTGGGAAATTAATTACCATGGTAAGTGTTTATTTTCTCTTTCTCGATTTTTTTAATCCATGCTTTTTGAAAGAGAATTGAATTGTGTGTTTTTTGTTTATAGTTGTTTTCTTCACAAGCACCTCGGTGGCTTCAAGTTCTTCTTACCGAGAAATTCTTCAACGCCTGTATAATCCACGAAGACGCCAAGAAAAACGAGAAGAACATCTTCTGCTTGGATTGTTCTATCAGTTTATGCCCTCACTGCTTCGACCCTCACAGCTCCCACAGGCTCTTACAGGTTCCCTTTTTGAATTTTACACCAAAAACCTCAAAATGATTTGCTTTGCTTTCAATTTTGTTAAATCCTTTTCTCGTGTTTGCAGATAAGAAGATATGTGTACCATGATGTTATAAGGTTGGATGATGCAACAAAATTAATGGACTGTTCCTTGGTTCAAGTAAGTCGCCATTGTTGCTGCTTGTTGAGCTTTGAATTAAACTCTTTTTTTTAATTGTTTCCCTTTTCCATTTGTTTTGTTTTGTTTGGTTTCCATTAGTCATACATAACAAATAGTGCAAAAGTGATCTTTATAAACCAAAGGCCACAGACGAGGCAGTTCAGAGGGTCCGGCAATTTCTGCACCATCTGCGACAGAAGCCTGCAAGACCCATATCTCTTTTGTTCTCTCTCCTGCAAGGTTCCATTTTCCATTCTTTTTCATCTTTAAAATCATTTGACTCGGTGACTCACCCTTTATTTCTCTCTTTTTGCAGGTAAATTATTTGCTGAGAGCAGATGATGGGCTGTCCGAGTTCCTGTTTGAGTGCAATTATTTGCCTTTACATGAGTCTGGTTTGGTGAACCCGGACTCGGTCCTTGAGCCGTCTGGTTCGACCAAAACGTCGTCTGGGTCTGGCGGATACGATGAAGTGTGGTGTCGAGCACTTGCTTCCACCGCTACGACGTCGGAGATCGTTAGGAAGAAAAGGACGAGCTTAACGGCGTGTCGTCCGACATGTCCGCCGGTATCGGAAGTCTCGGGAAGTTTGATGAACCGGAGAAAGAAAACTCCACAACGAGCTCCACTGTATTGAAATATGTTATTTGTGTAGGGAAAGAGAGGGAGGAGAGGCAAGGGAGGATTTGGACATTATCTATATTTTGGACAATTTACAGTTTCAATCCCTCCAATTTTGTTTATGTATACTCTCCTCTCACACAGCAAATTGTTATTTTTTCTTTTCCCATATATATTCATAGCGAGTAATACAGACAGAAACTGCTGTGTCATTACATTATTCAGTTGTTATGTTTTATGATTTATGTTTACCAGCTCTTAATGAATCTTAATCAATTCCAATGTCATCATTAGTTATAATTAATGTTAAACATGAAGATGATTTGTATTTGGAGCCATCTGTTTCTGGATTTTTGTTCCCAGGACAGAGTGGGGACAATATAGGAAGGCGGGAAGTAGGCAAATGCTATTAAATTGTTAGCTGTTTTCCTTTCCCCAATGGCTCGAGAGTAGTCTAAGGTGGAGTTTGGGAGTTTGGTTAGCTGGAATTCTTTGAAATTAGGGGATTTAGAATTTAATTTACTTTCTCATGTTTAATTAAAGTTTTTAAGGGGGAGTTGAAATCCAATTTTATCAAGGGAGGAAAAATAAATTTCATTCATAACATAATAGAATTGAAATCTTTTGGAGGAAGGAATGTGAAATTAAGTCATTGTTTTTATTGAATAAAAATAATTTTTTATTATTTCGGATCGGGTCAATTTTCTAATTCATATATTCGGGTTGGGTCAGGTCGGGTCTCGGGTGGAGGTTTTCTTGTGGTCCACCCGACCCGACCCATGGCCATCCCTAATTAGGATGATTTTAACTTATGATGTTTATTAGTATGTTTTTTATAATTTATTAAAATGAATAATTAATCAATAAAATGAAAATATAATATTTTTTAAATCTTATAATATATTGTTACATGTAAGTTACAAAACAAACTAAAATTAAACCAAAAAAATAAGAATGACAATTCTATCATTTTACATTACTGAAATTAAATTCATCTGACAAGTCTGCAAACCAAACAGAATATGAAATTAGATTCCAATTCAATTTTCTGTCAACCAAACAAGTTTCAGATTCAGATTCTAATTCATTCAAATTTCAATTTTTTCACATATTTCAATTCCCTTATAAATATTCGAGCGAACCAAACTCCACCAAAATGTTTTGCATTTCAATCTTTGGTTGGAACTTGTGGAGATTTAGTAATTTTCTCTTCATAATTTTTCCAAGAAAAATTTGCTTTTATACTGCAACAGTAGGTCCCTGTAGTACCACTGTTAGGGTAGCTTGTACACTTCGTAAATTTCTCTTGACAGTCATATTAACAACACGGACAAGTTTTTTTGGCATTTATTAATCTTTCCCAGCTCTGGGTTTATGCCACGTGTCCATAAATATAGTGGCTTCTTCTTCCAAAACTGCAAATATAAGAACGGGACCACCATCCTTTGGCTCTAGCTATCGCTTGCACCTGCGATGGGGAAGGGGAGAGTTAATCGCCATGAAACTCGATCACGTTGAGGCAAATTTTATGTGCTTTATTTTTCTGGGTTATGATTGGGACAATAAATGAAATGAGTTGAATATTATTTAGCTGGACTCAGATTTGAAAATTTTAAATTTGAATTTCATCTCGAAAGCTTGTGAATCTAACATTGTCGATTTCTACTTGAACTCGAAATCAAAAATTAAACTTTGATTCGAGTTTTAAAATTTGAACTCGAAATGTTTTTAGATTTAACTAGGTTTCATCAGAGTTGTCTTAAACATTTTAGACGACCTGAGCGAAAATTCAAAAAATAAGTCATATAGAATGAAAATATATTCTATTATTTTGAACAATTAATTTAATATTATATTAATAAAGCATAAAAATAATTAGATTATGAGCCCTCAAATATAAAAGTAGAAAATAAGAAATATTTTATAAAATTTAAAAAATTAGGGGTCCTTAATTATAAATTTTGTTCTAAAACTAAAAAATAGATCTTATAAAAGAAAACTATATATTCTATTATTTAAAAAATAATTTAATACTACAGTAATAAACCATAGAAAAATAATTAAATATGGACGCTTAATTATAAAAGTAGAAAGTAAGAACAATTTTATAAATTTGAAAAAATAGGGACCCTTTGTTATAAATATTGAGCATGAACTCAAACATATATCCTATAGAATGAAAACATATTATATTGTTTTAAACAATCAATTCAATGTTATATTAATAAATTATATAAAATTTAAATTATGATTTCTCAATTATAAAAAGTAATCGTTAAGGGTACTTAATCATAAAGTGAAAAAGTGAGAGTCTTAACGATCGTTAAGCCCGTCTCCAATCCTCATATTTACTCTATAACATCTCTATCTCTACTTTAAATATAAAATAATAATTCATTTCCAACAGTATCTCTACATTACCACAAATTCTATTTTATTCATAATATATAACTATTATAATATTAATTTTATAAATATAAAATAAAACATATACAATTCTAATAAATATCAAGATAAAAATTATAAATAAAATATTCATAAATAATATTACGAAAATTAAAATAAATTAAAAAAACCAAAAATCAGAAGAAGAAAATATGTAGCGCAACTACAGTGCAACGCTAGTTGTAGCGTGCACTATAGCCCGACGCCAGTAGGGATGGCAAACGGTATAATTTCGTGGATTCCGCACCCGCTCTAGTTGGGGCAGGGATGTGTATAATTTTAGTAGGTAGTGGGCGGGTGTGGATTTAGAAAGTGGTACCCGTCGCGGGTAGTGGGCGGGTAATGGGTTTGAGACCTTACCCGCGTCGCATCCACCAGCCCCATATCTGTCTGCCCAACTAAATATCTATTAAATTTTGGACCATTATGAATTTAAGTGTAATTTTAGAGACTAATTTATAAATCCTAATATTATAAAAGATATAACATGTAATTTAACCAAATATTAGAGATGAGTTTATGCATAAATTTTTTCTTTCAAACCTCTCGGTACAACGCCGATATTTCAAACCTCTAGTCTCCACTCTTCAGCTTATTCAAGTACGTTTCTTCCCTTTTTACTTTTTTTGTAAGAGCCATTTCCGTAGTCATTTCGTTTTAAACTCCTCTACATTTCGTTTTAAGAGTTTAATTTTTATTTTCTCGTATTGATTTTTAATTATTTTTTAGATTCATCTCAATGTTTGTTTTAAGCTTAATTTCTTAATGTTCTGCAAATCAGTATCTTGTCATTGAGCACCCACGTTTTAGGCCAACAGAGTCATATCGTTGCTTTTCAAACCTCCATTTTTAACGTCACTTAATAGAATTAAATGTTTCACTCGTAGTTTCTTTAGTACTCTGTTTGGCTACAAGGAAAAAGTTGCGGATGTTAAATATGCTAACTTTGAAACTGACTTTTTCAAATTCAAATTTCAACCGAGATTTTTGCAATTTTCTAATTTTTCGAAGTGTTAAAAGTATTTTAAATTAAAAATTGCTCGTAACTTCCGGTCTTTAATTACTGAGTTTCCTGGTCCTTACGTTTGTTGAATTTTATTTTATTTATTTCTAAAATTTTCTAATTTATGAAGCTAATGTTACATCTTACATTTTCCTAAAACATAATATTCGGAAACTATTCTTCTTTTGTACTTAAAAGTTTTTCATATGTTCAGAGATTCAATGTCTTCCTTATGTTTTATTACTTTTCCCTCTTCTTGTTCCCGAAATTAAATTTATATACTCATTTCTGAAGAGTTGCTATTTTAGGAAGCCTTAAATCATCTTAGTTTACTTCGACAAAACTTAACTGTTCTCAGCTTTTGTTTTGGTTAAATTCGATGATATTTTCTCAGATGATATGAAATAAATATATAATGTCCTTGAATTATATGCGTGTAATTTAATTTCCTTTTCCTGTTTTACTAAAAAACATAGTGTTTGTCATTTATATTTATAGGCTTTAATTATATCTTTTATTATGGTGTTTTATGATAATGATGATTGTAATACTGAAGTATCAGATGTCACAAGTATTGCCTGAAATTTTAGAATGTTGTGCCAAATAACAAAAACATTATGTGTTTGTCATTTGTGTTTCTATACTTTAATTATGTCTTTATTATGTTGTTTTATGTACTTTAAGATCTATATTAACACTTAACTCAGATAATCCTTTGTTTATTTTATTATGTTTCTTAATAGACGTGTTTGTTTTATGTTTGTTGCTTATGTATAACTTAAGTCTGCTGTCAGGCGGGTCTAGTCAGGTACGTCTCTAGTGAGTAGTAGGTGTGGGGATGGATTTGAGAATGTACCCTCGTGGGCGGGTGTGGATTTGAAATTTTTTACCCATCATGAGTGGTGGGGGGTGGTGGATTGAAAAATATTAGGTGGGTATGGGGATGAGAATGGGAATGGGGATGGGGGAGGGGTATTCGCACCCGACCCGCCCGTTTTCTATTCCTAAACGCCACAATCCAGCATAACAATGGCGATGGGCTGACGCACTCCAAAATGGAGATGAATACCACTCCAGCGATGCTCTGGATATGGCCTAAGGTACTCCCCTTTAAGTCGACTCTAAATTTAATCTTATACTCGAGTTCAATTTAAGTTCAAAATTTAACTCCAAGTTAAACTTTTAAGTATATGAAACATTGTACAATATTCTTTTTAAAAATTAAAACATGAATATGATTAATAATTTAATTAAAAAATAAATTTTTAATATTCTTTTTAATTATTTACAAACTTTTTAAGTAACATATTAAATAATTAGGCTGGGTTTATTAAAAATTTGAATAAAATTCAGATTTTAATTTAACTTATTTAGATTAAATATTAATCAAATTATAATCTAATCAAACTTTAACAATTTGCAATCTCAAGTATTATTTGTAACCGTAATTTTAATATTCAATGGTTCAATGCCTCTGACAGGAAAGATAATGGAGAGAGGAATGGATTTTGGTGTTTATTTACTGAACCTAGAAATGGGTCCAGAGCATTGGCATCGGCTGCCGTGTTCA